CTTTTGGGTGTAATGTGTTTGACCTGGGTATAGATGACATGGTGGTCCGTCTTAGTTCTTGTGGATCAGAAATGACGAGGAGCTTGTGGGGATGTTCTTGACCCGCTGCCCCTCTCCTGCTTACCAGCACGAAAAACGCAGGTCAACCTGACCCTGCAATTTCGGACCGCATGTATGAGATACCTTTGTTCAAAGACTCTGATCCCCAACCCCAACATCCAAGCCGGGGTTCCGTCACATTATTGGCTCGGATGTTCCAAAGCAGCAGCCGGTAGATCAGGGGGTTCGCTTCGATTGCCAGCACTGAGCGCTGCCTTGTTGCCGGGAATTTCGCACAAGAGCAAACCGTGTCGTACTTCAGCCGGCAATGTCAGTAAGCGAAGCAAGCATCCCAAAAACGCTGGAATGACACTGCAAGCCCAATCCCGAAATCCTCAGCCTCAATTGAATGGCTTGGAGTTGTGGGGTGGGCCGGCGGTAGTTGCGGGCTGCGGCTGCAAAGCGTGACACAAACCGCAGACGTAGAGGCAGGGAAGCCGAACCCTCGTCTTTCAAACCACCAGCAAGTATTGAAGCGCAGGCACTAGCCAGATAGACGGTGGTTCTCAGCAGCAGACAAAAAGCCCGCTAACCTTCCACTTGCCAGCAAATCTCCAATTAAGGCTGACGACATTCTTGCTGCCAGGTAAATGGACCGAAAACCAAGATTGGCGCCAACGTCAACCTGCAGCATGTGCACCGGGAAAGACTGGCAGTTGTGGAGGTTCAACTGAAGATGTCTTGCGAAGCTTCTTGATTAGACGGCTCTCAACCCGAACAGTGCTTTGCTGCCGGCAGCGAAAGAGTTTCTCTGCGCTGCGAGCATTCCGGGGGAACAGGAAGGTATATAATGTTTGGACAGCATGCTGGCACAATGCTTGGCAGAGTACTTCTACTGTGTTGTAGAGGTTGTCTCTTGTATCTGGACATCTTGTAGCTTGGCCGAGCATCCGTGGTCGCACCCTCGATGCCCAACATGTCTTCCTCCTGCCTGCAAGTTGTCTCTTCTAAGCAGGGCTTAGTTGCTACGCCTGCCCCTCCAACTCCGACGTCATGTCAGGATCGGAAAGCCAGTGAATAATTCTGTCCCATGCGCATTTAATTCAATGCACGTGCCGTGGTCATCAAGCATGCATTGAAAAAGATGGTTTATCTCACCTTTGAAAATACCGTTTTCCAACCAGAAAAGTCAAGAAATGTCTATGAACCCAAGAGCGGAATGCGGGCTACTACCGCAGTGAGAACCGAAGATTCAGCCAGGTTCACCATGTGTTCAACCCTTGATTTTGCACATACCTTTCAACAACCCTTGAGCCCGCGATGACACATGAAAGAAGGACACTGTTTCCAGAACTGTACGACTTTCTCGCTGGCTGCAAGCATGGCACGGAAAAGGCCGCTGGGACTGCGCTACACATGCCTCTGAAACACCGGAATAGCTCGGCAGCCTCTTCAACAAGTCTGGCCACGGTTTTGAACAGACCAGCTTACCATGTACAGCGACAGATGAAGTGAGACGCAACGCCCAAACCCTTCAAGTCCAGTTCATCTCCAGACACTCTAGATTTACAACATAAAATCCCGAAGCCTCAAGCCCGGAACCCTTAACCTGAAGCCCGAAGCCCTATATGGTGTCGCAACAGATGCCATCTTCTGGTCGGGCCTCCCTCTTTCCTCCAAACCTCAGAGGCAGCAGGCTCCGCTGGCATGAAGAATCCTGAAACTTTACGTGGGGAACCCAGAGCCCAGCTGAAGACCCAGACCACAATCACAACACCCGACGGGGCATGCTCGTACTACAACATGAGCCGTTGAGTTCGAGATCCCTATTTCGGAGCTGCCAGGAGGCTTGCAAACTCGACGTCCAGGGCATAGGTGCCGAAAGGACAGCGCAGGTCGCGAAAGTCTAGGCCCGAGCTCTGACGACGACCAACGAACCTGACAGCTTCTGGTCTCTCTCGGGCTATCGGTGTCGACTACACCGAAGTTGGTCCTGATGGTCAGTTCGCACGAATTAAACCCAGGGAAACTCGATAACGAAAGCCATCCCAAAGCCTACGAAGCTTCAAGCATCCTAGCATGTACGTAGCACGAAGGCTCTGGAGTCCCCGATCGATGGTGACGGTGGCATGTAATGTAGTGAAAGTGCTACAACTAGTGGAAAAGTGGGCAGTAAGCAAGGATGTGAACAAGCAAAGGGTCTTTGAAGGGCACCATACCGCTCAATAAACAAACGAGGGTGAAATCACGGCAAAAGCGAACCGCCGCGGGAGTTTTGGCAAACGTACTGATAAGAGACAGTCACGTAATCAATGTCGGGCTAGATTTGCGGCACTTCGTGTTACCAAAAGACTGCCTACTGCACTACATCCAGCCTTTATGTCAACCTAATAACAGTGGGGCACAGCAAAGGCAGTGACGGGTGAAGTTTGCATATCGCAAGTTGGATGCCCGATAGCACATGCACCACTTCCTTGCAGAAGAACGTGCTTCTTCTCTCACTGCTACGGCTCTCTTCCTCTCCTTGCAGACGAGGAGGCCGCATCATCCCTCGCTCCCACAAGCGCTGCTGACCTCGGTAAGTAGGCAGCACAGCATGCGAGACACCAGATCGGTTCAGTGCAGCAGTGATGCTTGTAGGAACTACTTCTAGCGAAACTCCCGTCACCTTTGAGGTCGTAGCATCGTGTCCAGAACACCAAACAGGCCATCCTTCGCCGCTAGTGCTTTCGCATACTGCCTATCTCCTCAATGCTGAACGACGAGCCGACGCGAACCCGGACATACGAGCTTGTTCAGAATATCTGTTCCTAAGATGGATTCATGAAACCCCGGACGTACTGTACTTAGTATCCTCCGAAGGCCAAAGCCAGAAGAGCCCCAGCAGCGATCGAAAGAGGGGTGCAGGCCCAGAAGGCTTCCCCAGCAGTTAGGCCAACAGCTTGGCGGGTGCCGGAGTGGCAACGCACCAGCGGGCATCTCAGCAACGTGCCCAAGTATGATATTTTGGGGGTCTGGAAACTTGATAAAGACTCAGTTCTACTCAGAGAGTCATGCCCGGAGGAATCATGCTGCAGGTGTTTTAGGCAAGGCGTGCTTGGTGTGGTTTGTTCGACAGTAGGGCACATTTTGCTCCACATAGTTCATGGTGCTTAGGCCAGGCATACAGTCGCAGAGTTCACAGCCTGTAGAACAGGAAGTCTCGCATCCTGAAGGTGTGGCTGGGAAGGAAGTTTCAAAAATAGGGAAGGCTCAAGCTCCAAGTGAAGCAAACTGAATGCTCCCTGCGACAACTACTGCTAGGACCAGGATACCAGAATAGTCGTGCTCAGCAAGATTCACCGCACAAGCGACTTCTGTACTCGCACCCTAAGGCCTGCTCAAACCTTCAAACTTCTGTGGGCCGCACGGAGTGCCACACCCCGAAGAGCTTCCTGCCGTCTCCTTGGATGGCAGCCGCACAAAACGACCTACACGATGCAGCGCTTATGCTTGCGGCCAGTATACATCCCAACGTCACAAGTGTCCTCATCCCCGTGCAGAGCCCCTGAGAGTCTGAAGTTGCCCAGAGGCGGTTCACCTACGTCCTTATGCGGAAACCCAAATGTTTCTTCTGACAGCAA